AAAAAATAAAAAATAAAATAAATATGTATTTTTTTAATTTTAAAAAGAGGGGCTCTTGGGTGGCTCAGTTGGTTAAGTGTCCAACTTCGGCTCAGGTCATGATCTCACTTTCATGGCTTCAAGCCCTGCATCTGGCTCTGTGCTGACCGCTCAGAGCCTGGAGCCTGCTTCGGGTTCTGTGTCTCCCTCTCTCTCTGCCCCACCCCTGCTTGCACTCTGTCTCTCTCAAAAATGAATAAACGTTAAAAAAAATGTTTTTTTGTTTTAAATTTAAAAAAGAAAAATGTTAGTTTCTAATAGTTTTACCAAACTTTATTTCACAAGGCAAGGTAGAGGGATTGCGTTAATAACTGCACCATGGCCCCTCATGAGTAAGATTAGGGAATAAATAAGTAAGTTATTTCTAATGTAACATCCTAAAGGGAGAAAGAGCAGTGAACTAGATCCAATTCTGATGAGAGGTGGTGAGAAATCTTTCCAAGAACGCTGAACCCTTGTCACGGAGAAGAGTTGCCCACATGCTTCCTGCTCAGGGGAGAATTCAGGAGTGCACCAGCCTCCTTGGTTTGTCCTTGAATAAGTCAATGCGATTGTGCGCCCCTTAGGAGCCAAGCCATGGGGGCCCAAGTGGAATCATTATCATTACATCCTTAACCAAGTGGGATCACTACCATCACATTCATAATCAAGAGACACGCCCCTCCAACCCAGAGCCAAAGGTAAGAGATCATAAGGAGATGGGAGTTTGTTTCCACCACTTCCTTCTGTGAACAGTATACTAGATTAACCTGACTCTTTGCCCTTTTCAAGTCAGTTACCGAATGCACACCTGGGGGGGGCGTTAGGGAAGGATTAGAAACTACTGTGTTTCTTGCCCTTAATTCTTCTAATTAACTCATGGGCTAACGCAAACTACCAGAAGAAGAATATCTTAATTTTTATTTTTTATTTGTCCATTTATTTATTTAATATTCACTGATACAAGCACTATTTTAGGTGTGTGGGATACAATGGTGGATGAGATACAGTCCATTGCCCCCCCTCCCCCCAAAAAAGACTATGAAAGAGAAAGACAAGAGATTACAACTCGGTGTCATTGACAGTACAGACTGATGGTCCCCTTCAGTATTCCCTCCTACATCTTTTTTTTTATTATTAAATATAATTTATTGTCAAATTGGTTTCCATACAACACCCAGTGCTCGTCCCAACGGGTGCCCTCCTCAATGCCCATCACCCACCTTCCCCTCTCCCCCCACACCCTCCGTCAACCCTCAGTTTGTTCTCAGTACTTAAGCGTCTCTTATGGTTTGCCTCCCTCCCTCTCTGTAACTTTCCCCCCTCCCCGCCCCCCAGCCCCTCTCCCATGGTTCTCTGTTAAGTTTCTCAGGATCCACATATGAGTGAAAACATATGGTATCTGTCTTTCTCTGCCTGACTTATTTCACTTAGCATAATACCCACCAGTTCCATCCGCGTTGCTACAAATGGCAAGATTTCATTCTTTCTCACGGCCAACTAGTATTCCATCGTGTATATAAACCACATCTTCTTTATCCATTCGTCAGCTGATGGACATTTAGGCTCTTTCCATAATTTGGCTATTGTTGAGAGTGCTGCTATAAACATTGGGGTACAAGTGCCCCTATGCATCAGCCCTCCTTATCCCTTGGGTAAATTCCTGCATCTTTAAACAGCACCTTCTCTCCTCATCTATGTCCAAACCATACTTAAGAGAAATAATAAAGTTTTTCTTTATTTTTGAGGCATTCGTGCCTAATTTGGGAATCAAGCACATAAACTGCTTCTGTAAATTTTCCTCTATCAGACTGACCATGATTGTGAAATTAGCATGCAGATCATGCACTCACAATATGGAAAAATATGCTCATACATTGGTTTATTCATCCACACTTACGCATACCCAGAACAATGAAATTCAGCCAAGGCCAAGTCTCTAAGTGGTAGAGAGCTGAGAAGCAGAAAGCATCACCCTGTTTTTATCCACTTTCTACGTGTCACTATTGGCAGTATTCTTTAGAATAAAGCTTTATTTGCAAAGGGCCATTGTTAGGAGAAAAACATATTATCAGGGATAAGTAACATGCCAGTCTATTAGCACACATCAAAACTCTGTAATACATTAGCAATAGTATATATTTGCATGGATATCGTCGGACCAGGTCAGACCATAACACAGAAAAGGTACATTTTTGACAGAGATGGTGGGAATGGGGGTGAAGAAGGCAGCATCAGTCACTACTGTGAGAAGTACTAAAACAATATTTTCTTTCACAAATTTTCCTAGATCTGATCTTTAAATTGTTAATATCTAACTGTTCTCAAAGAGAGTCCGGCAATAAACCATCAGTCCCAGGGAAATCGCATTAATCTTACATCTAATGCCACGTTCTAGAAGGTTCGGCTTTCACTAAATATACACTCATGACTATCCCAGCACCCAGAGGCTGGCTCCCCCTTTTTAGGGAGCCATATGACAGATCCACCCATCAAAGTCTGACCTTCTTACAGACCCACCGTAAAAGAGCCTCACAGCTAGAGCCTAGGAAACCACTTTTGCTGAAGGTACCACACTTCTGTATCAAGCTGTTTGAAATAATCCTGTAAGAAATCAGAAAAGCCAATCAATTAAGGTAACATGAGAGTAAAGGACTAGCAAGACATAAGGGATGAAAACTGAGCAAGTTCTTTCTCCCTATTCAGTTCCCACTTTTCTCGACTCCCAAAACAGCAGAATAAAAATTGTTCATTAGCCTCCCTTTAAACTATCATCTCTGATATG